ACTTTGTGAGCGTTTTCTTGAATTTAGTGGAAATTTTTTGAGATTTTGTGATATGGTTCTGGAATTTTGTGGGATTTTTGTGGGATTTGGAGGAGACGAATAATTTTGAGGGATTTTTCCTGCATGTTGTGGAAATTGGTGGAGATTTTGTGAGACGCTGCAGGAATTTGTTTGGGTTTTGAGAAGATTTAGGGATTTTTGTGGCACTTCCCAGGAATTTTGTGGGGATTTTTCTGGAATTCTGTGGGATTCTGAGGAGACTTGAAGAATTTTGAGGAATTTTTCTTAGATTGTGTGGAAACTTGAGGTGGTTTTGTGTGATTTTTGTGGAATTTTGTGGGATATTGAGGAGATTTAGGGAATTTTGTGGCATGTACCTGGAATTTGGTGTGGTTTTAAGGGGATTTAGGGAATTTTGTGGGATTTTTCTTGAATTTTATGGGAACTTGTGTAGATTTTGCGGGGTGTTTCTGGAAGTTTTTAAGGTTTTGAGAAGATTTTAGGATTTTTGTGGGATTTTTCAGGATTTTTGTGCATTTTTCTGGAATTCTGTGGGATCCTGAACAGACTTGAAGAATTTTGAGGATTTTTTTTTAGATTTTGTGGGAATTTGTGGAGATTCTTGAGGATTTTGTGGAATTTGGTAGAGTTTTGGAATGATTTAGGTCATTTTGTGGGATATTTCTGGAATTTTGTGGGCCTTTTCAAGGACTTTGCGTGGTTTTGAGGAGACTTGAAGAATTTTGAGGAATTTTTCTTAGATTTTGTGGAAACTTGTGGAGGTTTTGTGTGATTTTTGTGGAATTTTGTGGGATATTGAGGCGATTTAGGGATCTTGAGGGATTTTTCATGTATTTTGTGGGAATTTGTGGAGATTTGGTATGATTTTTTCTAGATTTTGGTCTCGTTTTGAGAAGATTTAGGGAATTTTGTGGGATGTTCTGGGAATTGGTGGAGATTTTGTGACGCATTCTTATCATTCCATTGGTGATTGTGTTGACTGTCCAGATACGTTTTAGGGATGATCCATGGCTGTCGTCTTCCCAACAGGGTAATCTTCTTTCACAGTAAAGGTTTTAGATTTAAATGTAGCTTTCGAAATGGCACAAGTCTGCCGCCACTCACATTATGGTCCAAGCACAACTTCCTTTCCAGGGTTTTGTGTGGCTCAGAAGCCATCTATGCTTGTTGCTGAATTGATAAGAGCTTTGTAACAGTAAAATATTTTACCCAGCCACTACTTCCACCACAAAAAACCAACCAAACAAAAAGAATAGACATCTTGACTTGTTGTGTAGGTCATGATGCAGAAAATTGGTCAAAGATTATTTTGGGGGCGAAAAAAGGTGTTGTGCTGCTTATGGTAATTTAAAAATCTTACGGACTTCAGTGCTAAAAATTAGAATCTAGGCCTTTGAGGAGATTTATTTGTTCTTGCAATTCTCCTTGTTGAATGGAGTTGACTAAGATATTTGAGATGTTTTTTCACTGTATTGCATCAAAGCAATTGAAATAAGCATCTGAAATGTAGTTTTTATGTCTGAACAGACCAGCCTTTTCAAATACTGGCTTCAAAATCCTGACCTGAAAGAATGTGCTTCAGACAAAACCAACCAAGATGAGCTTAACGCTTGGATGCTAGGAAAAAACCCCTCAACTAAACAAATCTCTAATCACTTTTTTTAACATGAAAAATAAAACTTGGTTGAAGATTCTGTTACTTAAAGTAGGTGATAGTGTTCAGTAGTGTGAAATCTGACCTTCAATTTTTCATGTCCTTTTCTCTTTTTTTCTGCTATGAAAACCCCTCTAAGTCACACATGTTCATTTGTTACATCATTGATACTTGTGGTACCTACTGCATTAGTTACTGCATACTAGAATATGATTTGTGGTTTATAGAATCTTTGCCCAGTCCTCAGGAGGTCTCCTGGCAGATCTCTTGTGCCCTCTTGCAAGACATTTATACTATTCCTAGAAGCCCAGGACAAATTCCACTTACACTGTTCTTAATTGGATTAATAGATGTTGATTAAGGAAGGAACAACCTAGATAAATTATATTGGGGAAAAATACAGTCTTGGAAGGATTCTTAAAGGTTGCATTGCATTCTGCTTAAGTTGATGGGGCAAGGTTAGATTTGATTTTCATTCAGGTGTTGACTCTGGTTCATGGAAGGGTCACCAGTCTAAATATCACACGGCCTGTCAGCAATGACTTCAGCTGTTGTGTACATTTGTCTTTGTTTATTCAACCCTAAAATATCTAAATCCTCTGAGAAATTGAAGAATGTTATCACATGACTGAGTTTCTTGTCAAACTGAAACACAGAAAAGCTTTACATTTAAGATAAATGGGTCTCAGGTTCTGACAGAGGAAGTGGTTTTAAATGATAATGCACATCCATGAAATAGGCAGCAGTGTATCATTAGGTTTAGAGTAGTTACTTAAGTCCACTACAAATAAGATTGTTTTAAAAGGGAAGATTAAACCTGAGCCACATCCTCTGTGGGAAGGTGTGTATGTATGTGTATATATATATATATATATATATATATATATACACACACCTTCAAAGGAATATATATATCCTCCCTTTGAAAGAGAGTACCGTGAATTTAGGGTTCCAACTAGTCTCTAACAGTTGTGGTGGTTTTGTTTTACTGTTTGCTGGTTTGGTTTTTTGGGGGGGTTGTTTGTTTCTAAATGGTTATGCATTGTTGCAGGGTATTTTCCTAGGAATTTAAAGAACATGTGGATGTTCAGTTTGTACAAATAACCAGTGGTGGTTTGCAGTGACCCATTTTGGAAATACATTGCTTTTGGCATCTCCTAGCTTAGGGAAGACAAATGCATAGGAACTATTTCTGTAGTATTTATTCTGAAACATGTAATCAGCTGATGCAACCAAATTTGAACAAATGCTCAAGAAAAAGGAGTGATTATCTTACTTGTTATAAAACAAATTATACTATTTTAAGAACTTTAAGTCTGATTTCAAAGCAATGATATATAGTATAAGCCATAAACAAAAATAGGTTTCTACCTGTAAATCCCTGAAGCATTAACACATAAACTTTTTAATTAACAAGAATTTTGTAGTTCTTGGCATATAAATAGAATTAAAATCTCCATGCAAATGCTCTTTATGTTGCCTTGCCTCCGTGTTAATACCATACCAGTAATCACACAGGTGGAATGTAATGGTAATGTGAAGCTGAATAACACATACTGTGAAATGAAAGCAAGGGATGCTTCACTAATGCTGACTTTCATGTGCATGGTATGAACATATGGTTGAGTGTGGAAGAGAATGAAATAGCTGTTAGTGTTATGGTGGGATTTGTTTTCCATACTTAGGATAATCTACTGATCTCGCACTGGTTTTTTTATATCGCTAAAGGTTTGTAGAGAGAGAATCAAATCTGTGAAATCAACCTATGTGAGCTTGTGATCCTGGTGACACAGCCATTTCATATTGAGCTTGTTGCAGCTGCCACCAATCCTACTTATGAACAGAAATCTTCTGGAATCTTCACCTGATCATTTCACCTGATACCTGGTTTATGAAGACTGAGATACTGTTGAATGTCTTGCCGTGCTAACTCGGAAAAAAATGTACCGTGTATAGTATATTATGTCTAAAAGTGAAATTAAAGCTCTTAGTGAAGATGCTATTTTAATTTTCAGGTTCGCTGGATGATGTACTGGATTGTGTGTGCTCTTTATATAGTTACTGAAACGATAACTGACCTAACAGTCTCTTGGTAAGACCCTGCTTTTTATGAACTGTAGAGGAAACTATATTTGTTTCTGATGTTTTTGGAGTTGTATTGATTTATTTTATATAAAGAAGTCACGTTAATTTAATAGCCCATTTTACAGGAAAAGATCTTGGTGCATAGATGAACAGCATCTGCTTTCAAATTTGCTATACCCTGTTACTTGAAGTAGGGATTATAACATTTCTAGCTCCACTGTAGAAACTGAATACGAGAATGAAACTCTTATAAGGATGGCCTAGAATTTCTCTGTGTAGGAATATATAATGAAAAACAAGCATATTAACTGTTTTGATTGCTTAAATGACAGTCCATAAATCCGTAACTCATTTAATTTCTGTCTGATGTAACTTCTTGTATTTGAAGAATCCTAAATGCTAATATAATTGTGGTTTTTTAATAGATCTCTTTATAAAGATTAGTTACTGTGCATTTTCTACTGCAGTTGTTAATTTTGTGCAACCTTTAACTTGTCTGTAGGTTTCCACTGTACTATGAATTGAAGATAGCTTTTGTTACCTGGCTCCTTTCCCCATATACTAGAGGGACAAGTTTAATCTACAGAAAATTCCTCCACCCACTGCTTTCTTCTAAAGAAAGGGTAAGAAATAACTTCTCAGATTTTTAATGCCTAATATGGAAACAACATGTGCTGAAATAAAAGCTGTTGCTAGATACAGTATAAGAGCAGAGCAGCTTGTTACTGTATTGCCAGGCAGCATGAATTTGGACTAGCGGAAGCAAGTGCACATGATTGTCCATGTCTATGCTTTTGTTTAACTTGCCTGAGCAGACCAGGTCCTGCTTCCTATTAACATGAGAGTTTCGTGTGCCCTGCTCTACTTGATGCACTCTGAGGAGCCCAGTTAAGTGGAAGTGATGCAGTTTAACTTTCTACTGCAAGCATGTGAATGTATGAACACAGCTTTACTAAAAGCTGTTAATGTTAACATTTTTTTCTAGCATAAATGAGGAATAACACTCCTCAGGATGATTGACATCAATGACTTTTTTTGGTTTGCAAACTGACAAGAGGAGAGACTTGTTTAAAGGGTAAACCAGTCTGCAGCAGTAAATACCCAAACATAAAAATAGCCAGAAGATGGTTCGCTTTAATCAAAGTATGACAGGGACACAGCTCTGCTTAGCTCTTTTTCAGCATCCTATTTGGATGAGGGGAAAGAGCAATTAGCAAAGGTCTGAAGACAAGCACTGAGAAACCTCACACTACAGAAAAGAGCATTCCTGAAGGTCAGTGCTAGGCTTGGCCTTTATTAGGTAAAGCAGGTAGTAAGATTGTCACTGATAGGAACAGAGCAAGTATCTTGACATTCTGAATGTTGTGCAATAAACAACTTGCAACTTTGTGAGCTAGAGGGATACTTCCCTGTACTCTCCAAACTATTGGGAAGTACCTTGAAGTCTTTATCTTCAACTCTAGGCATTTACCAGAGCTGGAGATAAATGTCGTAACTGTTTTGTCCTTGGTACTTAACTATTTCAAAGCTGTGGTTTTGGAAGTTCTTTGCAAGTTGACTCTACCTTTCTAGGGAGCTGACTGAGTTCTTCATGTAAGATGATGTTATTTCTTGAAATGCATGATATTTCTTGAAGAACTTCTGTCCAACAAGTTAAGCTTACACTCTCTAAGGAACATTTTGCAACGTTTCTGAGCTGTACTGAAGTGATGTACTTTATCTTCTTGTTTGACCACATATAATAATTTTTTTAATGAGAGAGTTGTAATGAATAAAACACCTGTATACAAAGATATATCCCATTAAATATTTTCTTAAATATTTTTCTGTCTTCCTTTACTGATGGGAAAATAATACTGTGGGGTAACTTTGCTCTCTTATGAACAGCCCTCTAAAATTTAAATACGTTTTTCTTTTAGGAGATTGATGAGTACATTGTCCAAGCCAAAGAAAGAGGCTATGAGGCCATGGTGAATTTTGGAAGGCAGGAGTTGAATTTGGCAGCAACTGCTGCAGTGACAGCAGCTGTAAAGGTAAGTTTCTGCTTGCATTAATTGCTTTTGAGCTTGATATCAAACAGTGTCATTGCACTGGGGATTTACCACTCTTATATAAAAAAGATAAATTCTGCAAGTGTATTGAAATCCTGGGACACAATTAAAGGCTTGCAGCCCTCTTCTCATAGTACGTTTGTTGTTTTTTTGCTTAAGATGGATGGCAGTTATTTCTTGGATTATGAGGATCGGTTTATTCTAAATTCAAAAGTTACCATTCAGTTTTCTGGGCAGGCTTTTAACATAGATGTCAATTGTTTATTTTCTGTCTGTGTTGTGCTTTCTTACTGATAAACAAACTTTTTAAAGGACTTCTGGCTTTTCTGCTGTTTTTCTCCAATCATCCTGAGGTAATGCCACATAATGAATTTAGGCATGAAGGACTACTACCATCGATAAAAATTATCTTGACACAATTAACCTGTTTGCAACTTGAGTGAATTATTAAATTATTATGCTAAGCATAAGCCTGCCCATTGGTGTTTAGAATACATTTGCTTTGCCATGGATTTGCCATTAAATGATGAAGTAATCTGTCATTTTTTCTAGATTACCTTCCCACAAAAATTCACTACCTTTAATATTTCAGAGGGCTCTGGGTCTAGAAAGACAAAATACAGGCTAATATGTAAGATTGTAACCAATTTGTGCACCACTGAAGGGAATATACTTCAGACCATGTGTATCCTACCTAATAGTAATTCAAACCAAAACACGCACACACAAAAAAAAAAGATAAAAAGAAGAAAATAAAAGGTATAGAGAGAAAAAGTTGTATGTCCAAGTGAAATCACAGGTTTTAGGCAATCATGATTAATTTCTTCCTGGGAATAAATGGAATCATTGTGCTCATAGTAACAGCACTGAAAACCTGAACACTGTCTGTAGATAACA